AGCCGCATTTTCGCCTACAATCCGCCCCTCTAGATCTGGTTGCTAACTCTTTATAGGTACCGGCAACGGACACACGGTTCGTGAAGTGCTTCACAGCCTGGAGGAAGTGTCTCAACGGAAGATTCCAGCACGGGAAGTCGGACGAAGGGCGGGAGATGTTGGTTTTTGTGTGGCTGAAGTGCAGCGAGCAGAGACGGAGCTGCAGTGGAAGGCTGAGAGGAGTCTCAGGGATTGCGCTGGAGATGTGTGGAACTTCACCAAGGGCCGGTGTCCCGATGTGCAAGAAGTTGGTGACGCGCAGTGCTAGTGGGCATGCAGTCCATGCTTGAGAGCTTTCGTATTGGCTTTGGCTAGATTTCGGGACACTTTTTTTTCGTCCTCCTTTTTTCTTTGTCGATGGAAAAGTTTTAGCATTATCAGCGGGCGTTCCTTTTTTTCCTTTCGCAAACGAGGCGTTTGTTAGCTTCGTACAGATTTGAATACAATTGACGCCAAGTTTATATTTCAAGGCGGATCGTATGGCCTCTCAGCACTCAATGACTGCCAGTGGTGTACTGTATGTGTAACAACGCCACGCCTTTGTGTAGCGCCGCCAAGGGTCGTTGGGAGATTTGGGTGGGTGAGCTAGCAGCTGCTGTGGCGATTGAGGAAGGGGTTATGGAGGGGATGAGAAGGAAAAGCAACAGCTGGCAGGCAAGGACAGCGGTTTTGCAATGGCTTTGGCGCACTGCACGTCGCCACGCGAGCAAAAGCAATGAGGATTAGTTTTGGCTGCATGAAACGCGTAGTGAGGTCAGGTGTGACATGAGTATGATGTACTATGCGCATACACGGCCATTTCCATTTGCATTTCCATTCCCAGCCATGTAGCGAGGTGTCTTGTGCCAGACGCTGCCGATGTGTCGTTTCCGCGAGGAGGCCGCAAGATGGCAACATGGACGAGACAAGGGCGATGCAGCAATGCAATGAGCTGTTTCTGAGATGGATGTGAGGATGAACATGTTACTCGCCCGTGTATATATGTACAAGCATGCAGGTATGCGTAACGGCGAGGAGCCAAGAGCTGGTGGTTGCAGGTACCGTGGGTGATCTGCAATCGGAGCCAATGGCAGTGCGCGATGGAGCGGCCGGCCCGCAACTCAGCTGGGGGCGGTACCATACGCTCGCACTCACAGCTCGCCCCCTTTGCGCCCACCTGTGCAAACACGAACGAGCGTGGTCGTGGTCGTGGTCGTGGTGTTGAGCGCAACCACGGCGTCGCCGCGTGCCCCTCCCTCGCAATGGCTCGGTCAAAAGAGCAGAGCGGGCTCCAATGGCGAGCTCAATGGGTAGCAGACAGACAGCCCTCCGCATCACATCGCAGAGCCGGAGCCGGGTGCAGGTGGCCGATTGCAATTGGGCTGGTAGCGGTTCGGGAGTTGATGGCGGGCTCGCAGTGGATGCGGCTGCTTGACGCTAACCCGCAACGGCTGTCACGTGTGGGCCCGTCAACAGTCAAGTCGGTGCTAGCAGCCCGCACCCATTGAACTTCAAACGTCTCTCCATACGCACAGTCGCGCATTCCTGCTGCTGTGTCGCCCACTCGGACGCTTGCTGCTTCGTTGCGACGACACCATAGATCAGAGCGACAAGACGAGCGCGCACAAATCTGCGCCCATGCCTCCTTCCGCCATGCCCATGCCCACCCACGCGACGGCTGCGCAGTCATCCTTCTCTGCCGGCGTCCATGACACCATCTGGGCCAACCATCAGCCTTTCTCTCCGCCCGACTCGGCGGCCTCGCTCTCGCCCTCACTGGGACTCCATCTGTCGCCTACTGCCAGCGTTGCTACCCACTCCAACAGTGTCGGATCCACCACTCCACCTGCCCAGACGCCTCAGTCGTCCAATGGAAGCAGGGCCGGCTCCAATGCCGGCCTCAAGAGCAGCCAGAAGGCCTCAGCTGGGGATCAGACGAGGGCCTCGGTCGCCGTCGCCTGCGTCCAGTGTCGAAGCAGGCATTTGAAATGCGACGGCGGAGCCCAGTGTTCCCGATGTAGGACCGATAACGTCGAATGTACCTACATCAAGTCACGACGGGGTTGGAAGGGGAAGCGTAAGAACAAGGACGACAATACTGCGCCTGCCGCCCCTCCCGTCGCCCATGGTGAGTGATTTGTTCTTTTGCGGTCGCCACATAATCTTCGCCTCTAACACCATTAGCACTATCTGCTGCTGAAGTTGCCGCCAGCAACGGTCACATGTCCTCCTCGCCTGACTATTCGTACAATGGCGATGTGAACCAACTCAGCCCCCTGCATGGCCTCGGAGTTCGAGCAGCTGCCCCGCCGGTTGCTCAGCTTAACCTTAACGGCACTGCCCGCTTGAACCGCTTCGGTCACCATGGACCCGAGACTGCCGTCCAGGCATTCTACCATTTCTTCTACAACTCACATCCCTTTTGCTTACCCGAGCCAAGGCTACTCGACATCTTCAAGGACCGCCGGGCTCCTCTTTTGGAATATGCCGTCCAATTCATTGGCTCAAGCTTCCTGCCTGCCGTTCCTACTGCTATGTACCGGGAGGCACTAGACCGCCAGATCAACACTGGCAACTATTCAAGAGACGGATGGTCGGTCCAAGCAATGCTGCTTTTTGCCATTGGTCTCCATGCGCACAACCAGGTCCCCCGAGCGGCACAGATTTTCACCATGGCCCAGGACCTGACGCTAGAAATTGGTCTCCACCGTATCGAGTTTGCTTTGATGAATGGCGAGAACGACCCACAGCTTGAGGAGAGTTGGCGGAGGACGTGGTGGTCCATGTACACAGCAAACGGCATGATGACAGCCGTCAACCCGGGCGTGCAATTCAGACTAAAGGATGTACAAACAGACGTCCCACTTCCTTGCGAGAATATTCAGTACTTCTCAGGCGTAAGTCAAGACCCCTGTACTACGATCTGATCCTTTTCTTGGCAATGCTTCCCTGCTTGGTCATGGGCTACTGCGCTGCTCACTCTTACTTTATATGACCCACAGCCACCATGCCGTTTTGGACTGCTCTCGTGCACATCAGTAAGACGAAGAGTGACTAACAATGCTCCCAGCAAATACCCTTCCCGTCGACTCTACAAGACTATGATGACTCAGCTTTCCTACCATCGTTGGTCACCTTCAGTTCCTTCACCTACCTCATCGACGCCATACGAATCCTAGGCAAAGTCTTTGAATGCGCACGTCTTGACTCGACGTTTGAATACCACGCCGTCGATGTCGTCGACCAGTTCCTGTGCAACTGGCGGTTGCACCTCCCCCAGTCGAAAATGGACATTGTGAACAACGACGGCCATGTCGACGAGGTGCTATTCCAAGCACATATGGTCAATGCAGGCAGCACAATCATGCTGCACCGGCCACGAAGCAACCTGGGATTCGGAAGAGTCGAAGGCGTCAACATTTGCGTGCAACCAGGACAAGTCTTGCTACCAACGCAGACGCGCGAAATTCACACAGCCAAGTGTCTCACATCGGCCGAAAACATTTCTTCGCTCATCCGTCTACCCGGCAACCTACTCTACCACACGCCATTCTTCACCTGCGTCGTCGTTATGGCGTCAGTCGTCCATCTCTCCTCCTGGTCCTTCCTCGTCCCCGACGGCCAAGACGACGACATCAAGCAATCCATCCGTCTGGACGTGGGCACCCTGCAACAATACTCCAACACATGGCCCATTGCCAGTGTAGTCCTCGGCCAAGTCAGAGGTGTAGCACACACACTATTCAACAGCAAAAAGGCCATGGCCATCCATTTGTGGAGCAATATCGACCAGAACGATATCATTCGCAATGTCATTGAGGAAGGAGGTCACGTCCCGCAACAGCAGTATGCGCAGTTGATTGCTCCGTAAGTTTTCATTTTCCCCCCTTCTTGTACTCACAAATATGTAAACGTGCCACTAACTTTTACCCACAGCATGTTGAAGTCGTAAACGAGGTTCTCGCACCGCCTTAATTGTCCTCATGACTTTTTGTCCCATCGCGTTCGCCAAACACGCATTCGTCTACGTAAGTGCCCATGACCAAATGGCATCAATAATGTATTTATCCCTTGTTTTTCCTATGCAGTCTCACATCAGGGCCTCCCTTTCCATATCTCTCACCCTGTTTTTTTCTTTTCCGGGTCAACTTTATTTTCGGGATTTTTCCAGTCTTGCATAACGAATCAATCAATGTTTGATATACCAAGTGTTTTCTTTTTCCTTTCCTCTTTTTTATTTACATCTATACTGGCGAGATTGGGGTTGGTTTCGGACTTTCTTAGTTATATGGGGGTTTTTTTTAGGCCAGGAGTAGTCTGGTTGGTTTGGCTTGGGTTAATGGGCAACGCAAACATGTGAGAAGGAACATTACCAATGTTGGTTAAAAAAAAGGAACAGAAAAGTGGAAGACTACTATCAAAACGAATATTATCTCAAATGATATAGAGATTCAACCATACATGGAAAGGTGAACATTCAGTCAAGAGAAAAAAAGGTCAAGTGCGGCAGGTAGAGCGAGAGTAGGAAGAACCCCTACGTAGCGTCACCCTGTTGGTTACGAGTCTAATTTTTTTCTTGTTTGTTTTGTTTCGTATACCTCCGCGGAGCCATTAAAGGAAAATATCAGCAGTGCTTCAGAACGCAATAGGAATGGTATAGCCTCAATGCTTTACACCTGCATCCACGGGTAAGGTTCATACTGCCAGCAATGTTTTTCTTCTCTACCTCTCGAAACCCCTTGGGGAAGGGAAAAAAAGAAGAAGAATGCTTTTCAAAACTTGATCATGGTCTCATTCAAAGTCAACATGCGCATTCAACACGCAAATGGTCTAGAGTTTACTTATTCGTCGAAACGCCGGCTAATCCAGCGCCTCATGTGATCATATTCTGCAGAATCCTCGTCCCAATCCTCCGTCTTCACTAACAATGTTGGAAGCTCCTGGGGCTGCAAATTGTGCAGCTCCAACTCTCATATTCCCATTCGATTCGTGTACCCATTACACTCCTGGTCGTGGCCAGGAGCAAGCTCATGCCCATATCTACAAGTCGGCATCATCTTCATCGGGCAGAGGCATCTGAGCGGCGTTCTCCATCTCCTGTCGGTATTGCTCGAGAACAGCCTGGTCGACCGTAACCTCGGGAGGCGCAAGAGCGGGAGCGGCGACAAAGTCCAAAGACTGGTTGCCGACAAGTTTCCTGGCGAGCCAGAGGAAAGGCTTCTCGAAGTTGTAGTTGGACTTGGCCGAGATGTCGTAGTACTGGAGGTTCTTCTTTCGGTGGAAGGTGATGGACTTTGCCTTGACCTTGCGCTCCTTGACGTCGACCTTGTTGCCGGTCAGGACGATGGGGATGTTTTCGCAGACACGGACCAAGTCACCTGATGGGCTGTTAGTTATCGTGTTTAGTGCAGTGGATTAGTTGCAAAACATACGGTGCCAGTTGGGGACGTTCTTGTATGTGATACGCGAAGTCACGTCAAACATGATGATACCGCATTGGCCGTTGATGTAGTATCCGTCACGGAGACCACCGAACTTCTCCTGGCCTGCGGTGTCCCATACATCGAACTGGATGGGGCCAAGGTTCTGTTTTTTCGTCGTCAGTAGGGCGCATGGCGCGGATATGGCATCGGAAAACGTACGGTGGTGAAAGCGAGCGGGTGGACTTCGACACCGAGCGTCGCAATGTACTTCTTCTCGAACTCTCCGGTCAAATGACGCTTGACGAAGGTGGTCTAGGAGCAGGGCTGTCAGTAAACGTGCTATGGCTGGGTCGTATGCAAGCCTTGTTGACTGCGCATCCACCTCAATGGGCGGGCTGCTATCGCAACAGGATGCAAAATGGGATGGCATACCTTTCCAGTACCACCGTCACCGACAAGCACGAGCTTGAAGGTCGGGCAGCTGGGTTGGGCGGCAGTCTCGGCCATGGTGTAGGTTGTTGTGGCGGGAGAGAAGTGTGGACGAGACGAGATGCGCAGAGACTGTGGAAGTAAAAAGTGTTAGTTGGATTCGCACGAAGTCGATGAGCAAAAAGCAGGTCGTGGTGCAGGCTTACGTTGGGCTAAAGAGTGGGGAATGGTGCAGGCGTGTGAAGTGACTTTCCAGAGGGGCAAGAAGAGGTTTTGTTGTGCAAGCTCAAGTGTTGGCCCGCTCCGGGCGGTGTGGATCTCTTGGCGCGCCCTCACCTTCTGCAATTTTGACCTCGCAGGCACAAGGCTCCCCTCTAGGCTGCCGCAGGCTCCCTTTGTCTTTGAAATCAAATGGCCTGGCGAATTGTTGGCCACGCAGCCGGAACGCCTTTGATTGATTCACTGATTTATGGACTGATTTGCTTGGCCTGGCCCCAAGGGCAGAAAACACCGGCTATGGTGCTATTGTAATGCTTGTTGGCCCAAACCCAGTGCGCCACGCAGCAAGCGCTGGCGTGCCATTGCGACTACATATTACTCACCCTCCACCAGCCACAAGCCACTGCAACCAGCAAAACGTGCCTGGCCACCCAACCCACGACGGGCCCCCGGATGCTCATGGACTTGATGGATGCTGTGTGCCCTGCATCTAACAGATGTATCTGCTCTGCTGTCCCTGCTGTATCTACCTACTGTAGAGCCCAAATGCCTCTGACGTCATTCCCAGCCATCCTCTCGCCTCTCGCCTCACGCCTCACATGGGTAGCAGGTGGCAGCCCAGCAGCCCTCGCCCGCCCCAATTCCTTCGCGGGGTGAGTTGCATTTGCACACTCTCTGCGGGGCCGCCCGAGACATTTGGTCGCAACGCCTTCACGGTAATGGGCACCTGCAACACGTCAGTCCTGCGCGCACGACAATCGGTAGCATGCCAAGTACCCCTTCGTTCTGCGAAACCACCTCTGCCACCCGCGATAGTCTCTCGTGGTTTGTCCAGTCGATCCAGCCAAACTTGGTTATGGTGTCGCCCACCCGTAGCCCTGCTGTCTCGGCCGGACTGCCCGCCACCACGCTATTGACCTTTGCGAAGGGTGCCTCGAGAGTCGCAGGCGGTGCGTTGACTTCTGGTTGCGTCTGGCTCGCCGCTGCCGGGTTGTTTGCCTGCTCTGCCAGGCGCGCGTGGTGTTCGTGGAGGCCCTTTTCGATGCGCGACATGAGGTCCTTGTAGTCGTTCTTCAGCCATATGATGCGCGCCCGAGTCGTCCGTACTGGGAGCAGGTCAGCGACGAAACTACTATTAGCACGGCGCGCGTAGCCTACTCTGAGCGACGTCAATGTCACTACGCGGAAAGCCATCGAGCGTCGTTAGGCCGGTACTCATGCGAATGCCATGCTGCAAGCAACGATCAGATGATGACTAGGCGGCGACATGCTTCTCGTGCGTACCGAATCCAGCACCTGCCCTAGAGCCTTGAGTTCTGCTTCGACGCGATCTTTTTCTGCCATAAGCTCTTGCAGCGACAACTGCTCCTTGGGTATTCCGTTAGAATGGCCCGACGAGGTTGGACCCGACGACACCGTGGGCGCATGAATGTCGTCCATGATGGTTGGCTGCTGGCTGTGAACTGGGGCGCTTTGGTGCTGGAAATTTGCCTGGCGCACTCTGCCACTAATGTTCTGCTGCTAGTCGGCACGTAGAGTAGTACTTGCAGACAAAGTGGGGGAGGGGAGGGGAGCTCAGGGTGCGGGGCAGCGGCAGCCACAGCCACGGACTTGCATGCCCGCCATCACCATGGCGCCTCTTCCACCCTCACGCAATCCGTGGTCCAGCCTGCAAAGCTCCGTCACGTGCACATCATCTGCACCCATTGCACCCGGCTTGCAACATGCTACTACGTGAGACAACACCGCGCGCACAGAGGCAGCGACACCAGCCGGGGCCACGGCAGCCCGCAGTGGAAGGGGTGCCAGCAGGTCAGCGTGCCACTCGTGCTCGTCGCTCGTCGCCCGTCGCCCCTACCGTCATGATGCTTTTGCAACTCCTCCCACACAGGCGAAAAGCAACGAGGCCGGCCCGCTAGTCGCATCTCGAAACGTGGTCCACTACGCATCCCCCGGCTGTGTCTGTCCATGGCTCCTGCCTTCCAGCTTCTCCAACTCGCCATACCTGCTCATGAGATCGTCGCTTGCTCATAAGACCCTCGTCTGCTTCGACCTCACCCATGTGCACCTTCCTTCCCAGCCTGCCTCCTCGCCTTTCCCATACAGTGTCTGTTTCCAGCATGCTTGAGCCAGCTGTCTGGCCTCTCTGCTCCTCACTTGTCTCTCCCCAGACCACCATCGTTGGATGCAGTAGTTTTTATCTCATGCTGCTTCAACCCTCCATGCGCCCCTTGTCACAGTGCCAACCACTACAACGCTGTTGAGATGGCCTATATGCTATCGCTCCGTCCTCAGAGCCCCCTCAAGCGTTCCTTTAGCGATAACCCATATCCAAATTCCTGCTCGCCTTTTGACGACACTCTCCATGCTCCACTGACCCATGCCACGCTTCGCAACGGCTCCGCCCGTTCTTTCTACTCCCTGAGAGACAATAGAGCCGTTGATCGAGCCCACGACGATGGGAACACGCCACCCCTGACCTCCCAGTCACTGCTCGACCTAGCTTCTGAGAAGAAGATTTTTCCAGTCACCAATGCACGTGTTGTCGATGAGCCACGGAAGCGAAACTGCGGTCACGATCGACCGCCACCATCCTTCTGCCAGCCAGAACTGCCATCTCTCTCGGACGGAGAGAGTTGCTACAAGTGGCAGCATGTATCAGAGTCCTGTTCCGAGTATGAAACCGCGGATGGAGAAGGTATGGGCCTTGATGAGGATAATTCCGATGAGAACAATATACATGCGAACAACTTTGCCGAGACACATCTATTCAACTTGTACGAAGCCATTCACGTGCCATTACCCACCGACCAGCCTCCCGACGACACTGGAAGCGAAATGCACGAGCAGTATCATGCAGTGCCAACCATCTCTCGGGCTTCTTCGCAGCCTTTCCGGCGGTGGATGAGTACCCTAAAGCGTCGGCATGCCCAGCGGTGGAAAGAGGAGATTATTGACTTGCCGCGCTTGTCCATTGACACAGTCAACACCATGTCAGTTGTTTCGCAGCCGCTCGGGCGCATCCCCGAGTCTACACGGCGGGCCAACGGTTCTCTAACCTCTTCAATGGAATATGTAACCGCGATGAAGTCTACGTCAATAACAGTTGGAAGTACAAGTATCGCTCCTCGCTCCGATGTTGGCCTGCCGAGCAGGGTTCGTTTGGGCAACAGGAGCAGCAACCTCTCTGAAGCTCGCCGATCACTCGACAGTCACCGTGGCGCGCTAGGACCTGTGCTGGATGAGAGCGCCTGGCTCCGAGCTCTGCAACGCCGTAAAGTTGTCGAGGAGCTGATTTCTTCGGAAGAGAGCTACATTGCAGATCTCAAAGTTCTAATCAACGTGTGTAGTCTCCTAACTGACATGACTCGGGCTACCCGCTAATCTATTCAGGACTACTTCATGATTCTCACTGTCCTCCCCACTCTACCAGGACACACCAGATCATCTATACAGCAAAACCTATTTCAGATTCTACAACTCCACGAGGATCTGCTTGCAGAGCTTCATCAGATCGTTCCTCATGCCGACTTCACAAAGAGTGCGAACCAGGAAGCACTCCCTGTAACAAAAGCCAAGCACATTCGCTTCAATAGCGCGGACGTCACTCCAGGTCGCCTTGCTGACCACAGAGCCACTCGACGGCTCAGACACTCCTTAGAGATAGGAAGATCTCCGGAATGTAGATCACGTGGACTGGCAACGGATACTGAAACGGCTGGGAATATCGCCAAGATCTTCAACAAACATGTTCGCTATTCATCCAAACCCTGAAGAAGCCAAGCTGACAAGGTCTAGATGAGACGATTCTTCACCTATGAAGAGTACTGCGCACACTGGACAACTATGTCTCAGGACCTGACTTCCATGTGCAAGGGCCTGCATGGCTGGCAAGAGTACGAAAGAGGCGTCGAAGCTTTGCAAAAAATGATTGCTTCGCAGAACAATCGCGAAGCTGGCAGCAGAAAGGCGCTGACCTTCTCTGACCTTCTCATCAAGCCCATTCAGAGGGTCTGCAAATACCCACTTCTCTTCGACGACTTGTGTCGCCATACTCCCGTTTATGACGATCCGGAGGCGCACGCCGAGCTTGAGAAAGCTCTCTTTCGTCTACAAGAAACGCTTCGCGAAGTGAACAAAGCCAAGGACGATCCTCAAACTCGAAAACTGATTGAGATCACCTGGCAGCTGCAAGATCGGCTCGCGTTCCAAGAACACAAGATTTCTAGAGCCCTCGTCTTTCGCATGCTCGGCCATGTGCTGCTTTGCGGTGTCCTACATGTGGCATATCAGACGCCCGATCGCATCAAAGGATCTTACATGGTGTGCGTGTTGTATAGATCATGCCTGGTGCTTGCAACAGCAAGCAGATTCCATACCCCTTTCACTGTTGTCGCCTCGATTGCTCTTGCCAATTCAAGCATCGAAGACGCTGACAATGGTCGTGGGATACAATGTCATACCGCACCACACACATGGAAATTTGTGTTCGAGCATGGCCATCGCCTACACGAAATGATCTTGACCGCATGCTCTTCTGTAGAAGAAGAAGCATGGAAAAATCAGCTTCGTGAGCGCATTGTTTACGAGACGCACGACTTTGTCGAAGGCCAATCCACCATGCAGGACATGTTCACATCCATAGCCCTGGACCTTAAGTCCCTTGGTCCTGTTTTTGGTCATGCGAACAGCTTGGTGCGACGCATGTCGGTTCATCGAGCGGCGACCTTGGGTGCGAAGACAAATACGAACCAAGTCATCATCAAGAACACCCAGGCCCAGAAATTTCCTGATTCCTCTCCACCGCTGTCACCTGGTATGGTTGCGAGATCGCAATCGCACCTATCCCCAAATCACATTCCCACACTAGTACCAAGACGAGCCGAGCGCATTCGCCTCGAACATATCTTGGAAGATGTATGGACAAAGGACGCTTTACCATTCCCGGGCATGTCAAGTCGGCGAATGGAGAATCAAATTAGAGCATCGGCCAATTCGGTCATGCGGAAACTAAGCATGGCAAGCATTGCCAGTAATTTCTCGCGTCGCTCGCCCAGTCTTTCGAACACGAGCAACTCAAAATCAGATGATTCATCCAAAGGCCGAGTTTGTAGGACGCCTCATGGAACCGTACGGTCTCATTCGGCAGCTGAGCGACGACCAGTGCCAGCTGTAGTAGACTTCCACAGCGCCCCAGCCGCATTCCTACCAACCGACTTTGAAGTGGAAGATCCGCGACCTTCTAGCAGACATCGACGCCTTGCAAATTGTACTGGAGATGCAGGAACACCGGCTGAGAAGTCTTTACAGGCCAAGCCAAAGAAAGTTCGACGTCTGTCCAGTCACATGATTGGCATACCACGGTCGGAATCTGCGAGACGCGCCATACAGCGAACTCCTTCTCACGAATTGGCAGCAAAAGCATTGCGCGCGGCCCCTCCGCGCGTAGATGCCAAAACAGGCACGGAGAACAAGAAGATGAAGGTGGGACGAATGAAGGGCCGCGAAACCAAGTCGGGTTCGCCATGCGCCACCCCTTCGAGGAAGTTCTTGAAAAGCAAGAACAGAATATTTAATCTTTTCCGATGACTTTAGACGCGTACTAGCGTGGATGGTCAGGTTGGATCATGGCGCTTGCAGGTAATGACGGTTGAGGAGTTGCGAAGCGAACAAACTTCTATGATTGAGCTATCACGACCTTACGATACACTATATCCTTGCGGTAATAGCGAGATAAGATATGGATATTACGACCGACACGATAGAAAACGGAATACGCACGACATGACGGCGATCAAATGATATTAATGCAAGGCACCCGCAGGAACCTGAGAATCGGTGGAGGTGGAATGACGTCATTGGCTGTGCTGTGGGGTTGAGCTGACACGCGATCGTGTGATGGAGGGATCCATTGCAAAAAGACACGTATATTTGGATAGCAACAACAAGGCTAGAACCAACAACGTCATCTCTAGACATGAAACGTGGCATAATCGTTTCTTCCTTCTTGGTGCATCTGTGTGAGACTCAATTTGGTGAGAGGGGAAGGTGTCCATACGGTCGTGTTTGTTTCGGTTGAATGTTGACAATGAGATCGCAAGCCAGCCAAAGCCCCGCCCGTCAGCCTCAAGTTCCGGCATGAGCCACAAGGCTAATCATGGTGTGAGGGCTTGCGTATCCCCATATTTTGATTTTAGCATGCCATGCTTCGAGAACGTAGGCCCAAGCTTGGCAATGACGTAGTGTCTCCGGTCATAGCTCACGAGCTTGCTAAATAGCCCCTCCAAAGCTTCCCCTCCATCCACCACCACACTCTCACATAACACACATACTCAACTCTAGCATTCAAACTAACTCTCTGCTTCATCCAATAACTCTTCTAAACCGATCAAACCCGACACATCAACAACAATGGCTCGCGGAAACGCTCCTCAGACTCAAGTCTTCTACAAGGGCAGCAACGGCGATCAGTTCACCGTCTTCGTCGAGAGCGAGGAACAGCTTAAGAAGTGGAAGGCCGACAGCAGTATCCCCATGACCGAGGTTGTCGCTGGCTGGAAGATTATGGTCCCTGAGTAGGTTCTTCCCTGTGTACTGGGACTCCGCTCAAAGTGAAGCTCGAGAGTTGTTTGTTCGGCGCTGAACAGAACCACCTACTGCATGGAGAGTTTCAATGAGCGATGGTGTACAGAAACAAAAAGTATCATGAACGAATTAGCTAACAATTCACAAATAGGCACGGCAAGCAAGGTATCCTCAACACCGCTGGCAAGGGACAGCTTGAGAACGAGTTCGGCACCAGCAACGAGGATGAGGTCATGAAGAAGATCCTCACTGAGGGCAGTGTCCAATCTTCCGAGGTGAGTAGTTCCATTCTCTCTTTTCATACTGTCTGATCACTAACACGAATGGCACACAGAACTCGGAACGCATCGGCATCACCAACGAGAGTCAGGGCCCACGTCTCGCCCACTAGGCGTGTTCCATCTGGCTTCTTTGAGAAGCAGTGACGATGACTCGAATTCTTTCCACTTCGATATGATATCATGATTTTGCAAGGACAGCTTGCTCCTGGCCTGGAAGATTGGTCGGCTGGCTGGAAAGGGTACTTAGTTTGCAAGGTCTGTGCTGAAAAGCCAGACGGCTGCACCCTGTTATTTACAAAGCAAGTAATTTATGGATGAATGAAATATAATTATCCGCATGCCACTTGGCTGTTTGAGACCCAGAACTTGATTGGCATTTGGGACATATATCGTGCAAATTCATAGAGTATTTGGTATCCATGACTAACTACAGCAATGCGACGATTTTGATGGACACTGCGAATTCCCAACCGCGTATGTGAGAAACGTGACTTTGATGTTATCAAGTCTAGAGTGAGAGATAGCACTGCAGACTACTGCCAACCTCAATAAGAACACTTACCACAATACCCACAGTCGTCAGCCGAGCATGCAGTATAATCCGGCTCAGATCCCGAATCATACTCGCTCCCATAGTATGAATTATACCTCCTGCTCAACCCAAAACCCCCATCATCACCATGACCGAGTCCATGATTAACCGGAGAATCCGCCCGACTAACACCCCAATTTGTCCAATTATCCTCCCACCTCTCCCTCAAATACCACGGCAATGCCTCCGATCCCTCCCCAAACTGCATCCTCACCTCCAACCTTTCCTTCCCCGGACAATAAACCTCCAGCAACGTATTAGCACCAACGGGACTATTCTCCCGCGCAATCCTGACCAGCTCCCTCAGCAGCCTCGCGAATTTCTTAATCCCGGCGTCGTTTTCGGTGGCCCAAGCTTTGACTTCGGATTCGATGTTTTGGACGGATATGTCGGTGAATAAGCCGGCGCCATCGTGGTATGCGGTTATGAAGTTTGGGATGCGTTTGAGCCAGAGTTGCGGGTAGATGTCGGTCATGTCTATTTTCTTGCCGTGTTTGGCGGAGCGGGTTTTGAGGTCGAAGAGGGCGGTTTGAGGGATTGTGGTGGAGTAGGAGGAGGAGGAGGGTTTGGTGGTTTGAGGGGTTTTGATGGTGAGTTTGGGGGTGCTGGGGCGGGAGGGGATGATGAAGTCTTGGAAGGAGAGGATGAGATCTTTTTCGTAGTTGTTGTTGTCGTCATCGTTTTTGTTGTTAGAGTCGTCGTTGTTGTCGGAGTCGGAGTCGGAGCGAGGAGGTGGAGTGGTTTCTTCAGGGGAAGGTTCGGGGATGTAGCCGTCGCTTTCGAAGCGGAGGAGATGGGTTAGGCCGCCGAATTTGTAGCGGATGATGCGTTGGTGGGAGATGGAGTTTTTGGGGTCGTTCCAGGTGGTGTAGGCTTCGGGGAAGGTGTGGCCGTAGCCTCGGACGCCTTCGATGAGTTGCTTGGGGTCGTTTTCTTTGCGGATGAGGAAGACGGTGTGGTTGATTACTTGGAGGTTGAAGCGGAAAGGTTTGTCAATGCCACGGGCGAAGCGGAGGAGGTTTCCTAGTGTGCTGCCGCAGGCGAAGATGTCGATGTCGTCAGTGCGGTAGTAGTAGTTTTGTTCGAACACGGCATGGACGGCGGGTGCGATGGGGTAGGAAGAATCCTTTGCGGCGTTTAGGTCGCGGAAGTATTGGCCGTTGTCTTCTTTGAGGCGTTGTGGTTCTGCGAGAGGCGTCCATTGTGGGGGTTTGCCTAAGGAGATTTTAGAGTTAGACATGCGTACAAATGTGGAGTCTGGAAAGAACGATGTGAAAGGAGACCTGCCTGGTACGATGATAGTAGGATTTTTGTCGTTTGTCCAGTTGTAGGATGCAACGTACTCGCATCCAGATATCTCGGTAGAGTGTGAGGTAGTGTTCGCTCCCACGTCAAGGTTTGACGCGCTGATCGTCTCGACGAGATCTCCAAGAGGGTGTTTCGTAAGATCAGGCTTCTGTTGTTCCCTGGGCTTATTGAAATGTGGATATCTACCGCCTCGGCCTTGCCCTCTCCGTGGAGCAAAGCCGCCTCTGCTGCTGGTGCCTGTGAATGGATTCATCGTGGCAGTGTTTGAAATAGGATCAAAAAAGATGAAATCAATGCTGAGTTGTTATGCTAGCCGGGAATTGAGTCCTGATCTCAAGGCTTCTTCCCTGAAAGAACGGCGGCAAGCTGCTCTTAATCAGTGCATGCTGCCTGGACAAGGCTGAGGCACTTGTGGCGTGGTTTGCTCAACATACACAAAGGGATGGCACAGCGCACAGCTGATAGGCGTTGATCCGTCTAGTTTCCACCATGTCATGTAGGCCAACGTATCGAATTGCTTTGCCGCATTGTAGAGGGCGGGGTTTGTCTTCCAATCGTTTGCACAGCCTGCTATCAGAGAAGCGCCTCGTATGCGCTGGTCCTTGTGCTACCAAGCCACCCATTATGCCTTGAGTAGTTCAAAAGAACCAAAAATCTTCAGAAAATACATGGAGAAAATCCACAACTTTAAACCTCTTTGAAACAAAACTATCTATCTGCAAGACATTAGCCTCTGACACACATGGCGGACCAAACGGCTGCAGCAAAGCGAGCTGCGGGGCTGACGAAACTCTTCAACGCCGTCATCCATGGTCATCGCGAACTCAAGACGGCAGCTGATGGCAGCCGATTCCTGGAAGCGCTGTGTGCCCAGGAGGATGCGTCCAAGTGCGTGGAGTGTTTGGTCGCAGCTCCTGGCGGCTTGGGCGCGGTTGCGAAGGCGTTCCGTTTCTCAGGTGATGGCGCTTTCCTGAACGGCTTGGCCTCTTCCGTCCTTCTACATCTCTCCCAATCATCCGTCAAACAACTTTACGGCGGTCAATTCCTTGGGCGCGTTCTGGAGGCTATTGTGCAACCTCCCACATTCTGGAATACGCTTGTGCAGGCACATGCCACAGAGCTTCTCTCCGTAGACGGCACGCGCGCCTTTGCGTGGCTGTTGCTTGAGCTGTTATCCAGTCGCTCGACTGACATACCAGATGTGCGACCCATCGCTGAAAAAGTCACCAGCGATAAGTCGCTCATCGGTGCAGAGTCTCTAGACATCCGCAATTTGGGCCAAAAAATCAAGCACATCCTAGAAAGCACATCAGATGATTCTGTCGATGGCCCCGGTGGCAGGCACGACAACGACAAAGCGGACTATCGCAAGATCAAGCTATTGCCAACACCAGATGAATTTGTGTCAGGTGCGCAGCCGTTTTACAGGCGCGCAGATGTTGTTGCTTCGGCTGCTCCAGAAGGCCGCAGCCTGATGCATCTCGACAATCAATTTCGCCTGCTTCGTGAGGATCTTCTAGGTGAATTGCGCAGCGACTTCCAGATTGCCATTGGCAAGAAGAAGGGGCGACGCAAAGTGGTGCTCGAAAATCTGCAATACGCTGGTATTGACTGTGGTCCGGATAGGAAACGAAAGCCCTGCTCGTTGAAGCTTCGTTGTCCCAAGGGCATCCCTCAACTACGCAGCCTCAAGCACGTGGCCGATCGTAAGAAGGAGCTCGCTAAAAACAAAAACATCTTGAAGCATCAATCTCTTGGTTGTCTTGTGAGCAAAGAGCAACTCATCGCTTTTGCATACGTAGACCGCGATGAGGACCTTCTTGCTCAGGATCCCGCTGTAGTTGTACTCCGGATCATCGACGCTAGCTCCTTTGGCAAGGTCTTGATGGCGTGCAAGATCGCCCAAGATCTTTCCTTTGTGCAAGTTGATACTGCTGTGTTTTCGTACGAGCCAATCTTGAAATGCCTCCAATCTCTCAACGAACTACCGCTAGACGATCAGCTACTCAATCTCACGCCAGATTCTGCTGAGGCAGTCTCAGGTATCCAACCTACCTATATCATCGACAGAATTCGAAGGAACTGGGACCAAGATCTACAGGACATTGTCGACAGCACACATCCTATCAATTTGGATCAAGCTCAAGCAGAGTCGTTGTTGGCTGGTCTCATGAAAAGAGTAAGTCTTATCCAAGGTCCTCCTGGTACCGGTAAAAGCTTCATTGGTGCGCTCATCGCCAAAATCTTGCACGACCATACCAGAGAGACCACACTCGTTCTTACTTACACCAACCATGCCCTTGACCAGTTCCTTGAGGACATACAGAAAGCCGGCGTACCGTCTCAGTCAATTGTACGACTTGGCTCCAAGTCTACTGCTGCCACTCGAGCATTGACCATCAGGGAACAGCCAAATAATTACAAAATGAGCAGTCAAACATGGCATAGCATCCAAGAACAGAGAGCCAAGGAAGATTCATATTACGCTTCTCTTCACCAAAGAGTAGCGGCGTTTGCTTCGGTGCAACTTGATCACAAAGTCATACTCGAGTACCTGGAGTTTTCAGAGGATTCAGAGTATTTCGATGCATTCATTGTCCCAGACAGCAATGACGGCATGATAGTCGTGGGCAGGAACAACAGGCAGGTTGACGAATACTATTTGGTGAAAAGATGGCTTGGAGGCGAAGATGCCGGCGTATTTGCTGGCGACGCAGTGCAACAATATCCTCATATCTGGCAAACCTCGTTACAATCACGGATAAACCGTCAGATGAAGTGGCGCAAAGCAATACTGGAAGAGCAGCTTGCCGAAATCTCCAATCTGGTTGACAAATACAACACATGTCGCGCTGAGATTGACAGTCTATATCGCCAGAAGGATTTTCATGTGCTCAATAACAAGCGGGTTATCGGATGCACTACCACGGCCGCTGCTATGTACACGGACGAGATCCGAAAAGCGGCACCTGGTATCATCTTGGTAGAAGAAGCTGGAGAAATACTCGAGAGCCATGTGCTGACAGCAATGTCACCATCTACTAAACAACTCATCTTAATCGGCGATCACAAACAACTTCGACCTAAGGTAAACAATTACGAGCTGACTGTAGAAAAGGGGGAAGGCTTCGATCTGAACGTCTCTTTGTTTGAACGGTTGGTACTTAGTGACGTTCCACATACTACGCTCATCAAACAGCACCGCATGCGTCCGGAAATATCCTCACTCGTCAGGTCACTCACCTATCCAGAACTAGAAGACGCCGAGAAAACCAAAGGTCGGCCAGCACTGCGCGGTTTCCAAGATAACGTGATTTTTGTATCTCACTCGCACCCGGAACTCAACGCAGTACAGATCGCTGACCGGCGTGATGGTGAGGCCAAATCCAGCAAGGAGAACATATACGAGGCTGAAATGGTTCTCAAATGCGTGCGATACCTCGGACAGCAAGGCTACGGCACAGGGGAGATTGTAATACTGACTCCCTATCTCGGTCAGCTGTATTTGCTTTTGAATACACTGTCCCAGGACAACGATCCTATATTGAATGATCTGGACTCATACGAGTTGCTACAAGCAGGTCTGATAACACCGGCTAGTGCAAACATAACTAAACGCAAGCTTCGCATATCGACGATTGGTGAGTAACCGCATTCCGCTCTCAACATGCTCTAACATTACTTCAGACAACTACCAAGGCGAGGAGAGCGATATAGTTATCGCCTGTCTCACAAGGAGCAACGAGATTGGAGATATCGGCTTCATGTCGTCCCCTCAGCGTGTGAATGTGTTGCTATCACGAGCACGCAATGCTCTCTTAGTTATTGGAAATCCAGAAACTTTCATGAACAGTCGCAAAGGCAAGGAGGTATGGGTTCCACTCATGAATCAGCTGAAGCGAGATGGTCATGTCTACGACGGCTTTCCTGTCAAATGCGAACAACACCCAGATAAAACCGAGCTCTTAACTAAGAAAGAGCATTTTGATTTGTTTTGTCCAGATGGAGGCTGTTCCGAGCCATGGTATGTACAATTTCCAGATATGTTGACCAAAGCTAATAAGACCAGCGGCAAACTTCTCAAATGCGATGTTCATGCATGTCCAAACAAATGCCACCAGTTGCAGGATCATTCAAAGATGGATTGCAAGGCTATAATCTCGTCAACATGCTCCAACAATCACAAAGTCACAAGGAAATGTCATGAAAAGGCTTCGGCGCATTGTCGAAAATGCGAGGCGGAGGTGCGGGCGCAGGAAAAGAAACGCCAACGAAACCACGAATTGGACAAGGAACGTCAGGCGAAACAGCAGGCATACGCTACACGTTTAGCAGAAATTGAAGAAGAGATCGAGCATAAAAAGCGTACCATGAGAGAGCAAGCCGATGAGCAGGATCGCCAGCAAACATTGAGACAAAAGGAGCAAGATCTTCGCAATCTGCAAGAGAAGATTAAACGTCCTAGACAACAAGCAGCCCCGTCAAATTCATCGCCCAGCTCCTCAGCAAGTTCATCGAGCAAAACGAAAACACCAGACTGTGACCCTGCAGCTCCCAAGGCGACAAAGACCCGAGCAGATAGTGCTACAGCCGGCAACAATTCCCCTACTTCGGACCAAAACAAAAGCCAGCCCGACTGGAACAAGAGTGAAGCAAGAGACGATTGGGAGTGGCAGAAGAAGTTTCAAGGTGCCGAGAATAAGGCACTGGACTCCCTAATACCTATGATAGGTGCGCTTCTCTATCTTTGCAATGCACATACGCTAACCTCCATTAGGGCTGGAATCCGTCAAACAGCAGTTCCTCGCAATCAAAGCAAAAGTCGACACAGTAGTACGCCAAAATGTATCACTAAATGGAGAAAGATTTGGTGCAGCTTTGCTTGGTAACCCTGGAACTGGTATGGCGGACATGTGTGTACAAGACTGGTTGCTAACTCATCGAAGGTAAAACAACAGTAGCTCGTTACTATGCCCAGTTCCTGGTTGAAGTTGGTGCCCTTCCCGGAGATCACTTTATTGAGAGTTCTGGATCAGCTCTCGCAAACGATGGCGTCTCGGCGTGTAAAACCCACATAGAGACAATACTCAAGAACAATGGAGGTGTTTTCTTCATCGATGAAGCATACCAGCTGGTTTCTGGAAACAGTCCTGGGGGGAAAGCAGTATTGGATTACCTGCTTGCAGAAATTGAAAACCTTACTGGCAAAGTCGTTTTCGTGCTGGCAGGCTACCACAAGCAGATGGAAGCATTTTTCTCCCACAACCCTGGTATCCCAAGCCGCATACCACTCCGGATGGAGTTCCAGGA